GCACACACATACTCATCCCCGTAATTAGAGGTTCCGAGATTTTTGCCCCCTTCTCGGAAAAGAGTGCTGCACGCAGCAGCGAAAGGCAATGGTCCGATGGTAGTGGTGGAGTGGGTATCAAGCTCGAGCAGAAGAGAATAGTGAAGGTGTTCACTCACTCTTTGCTAGGGCAACCACCATCATCAGGGGAGAGAGAGAGAGAGAGGGGGAAGGGGTCTGTTGTGTTTGTGAGATGTTGTCGAGGAGAGAGAATGAACAAGCGGGGAACAAGCGACAATGTGCGATCGACCGGTGAGACGCATGTTGTTACCCAACGCCAGAGCTGCTTGGCGCCTGTTAGCTAGCTAGCTAAGCTGTCAGTCACTCGGCGTGTCAGCGCAGTCACCGAGGAGCAGAGAGTACCTTCAAAAATGGAAATGCTGATAATTATAATTGTGGCCAGACTCGCTCACTCGCTCGGGAGAGGCGAAGGGCAAACAAAGCGAGAGGTGGTGATGTTTGTACTGCGCTTTGGCAGCGTTCGCATACCGCAAAACTCAGACAGTGACGCTGGTGCTTAAACTTGTCACGAACTGACGCGGGTCAAGCGAGAGACGTGAGCAATTAAGTGCTTATGGCAATCATAAACGAGTATTGTACTGCAGATTCATGTACTGAAGCTTTGCCTACAGCAGAAGGTCACTGCCTGAAAGGAGTGACTGAATGTGGAAAATGCAAATAATGTCACCGCAGGACTAGCACTAGGGAACTGATCTTTGAAACTGGATTCAAAATAGAACACTTTGCAGAACTTTCTAGCCTAAAATCAAGTTGACAGTAGGAGCAGAATAAAATCGAGTTACAAAATAAAAAAAATAAACACAATTCTACAGGATTTAAATTCAACCAAAAGGGACTCACCATTCCTTTGCATGACGTCAAAGTTGAAGAGAGTTGAGCAATCAGTTTGCGTGCTTGGCAGTGGAAGATTTGATCGAGAAGAAGATGAAGATGAAGAAGGTAAAATGGGTGAGTGTTCCAATGAGAAGATGCGAGATGACAGTTCCGAGGATCCTTCGTAGTGGTCTCCCGATGATGAATGAGAGAGAGTTAGGCGCAGCAGTTCTCGCGCTCGTCGGTTTGGCTTTGGTTTGCGCCGATGCTGCTGCTGCTGCTGCTACGGTGATCCGTTGATGCAAACACAATGGGCAAAACACACAAACGCTGCCAGCAACCGTGCTTGCACACTGCAAAATGGTACAGCCCAACGGAGATCGGTTTGACCGCGTTTCGATTCCCAACTTTCAGGTCAGTGCGCGCTGGAAGAAGGCGCCTGGCGGGACGGACAGACAGCCAAGCGCTACTGCCAGCACTGCAGCGACCACAAAGTTGGAATTCAGCTGGTGGCCAAACTCTGCAGAAGCAAAAGTAGCGGCCATCGCGATGGTCACCGTCACTGCCATCGAGTCGCCCCTCTCCGCGGCCGCTGCAGCACTGAGCGGAGTTTCGCCGCACTCGCTTTCCGAACCTCTACCTTGGCTGCGCTGAACAGGTGGCAGCACTGCTCAAGCGGGGAAAGGCAAAAGTGGGGAAAGGCGAGCGGTGCAACTTTCCGCCACCACCGAGTCGGCTTTTCCGCCGCGCATCTGTTGGCCGTGCTGCCTCGTGCTTCCGTCTTTCCTTTCGAGATTGTTTTCCAACAGCGCAACTTTGCCTGTTTGTGTGTTGTGACTCTCCAACGCCCTCGGGACCAGAGCCTGCGCGACACCCACCCCTAGTGGACCAAATCTTCAGTGGNCGTCTTTCCTTTCGAGATTGTTTTCCAACAGCGCAACTTTGCCTGTTTGTGTGTTGTGTTTCTCCAACGCCCTCGGGACCAGAGCCTGCGCCACACCCACCCCCTAGTGGACCAAATCTTCAGTGAAACCCCACCAACACCCCTCCATCACCTCAACCACCACCATGGCAGAGGGCAACTGCACCATCCGAACGCGCAAGTTCATGACCAACCGACTGCTCTACCGCAAGCAGATGATCGTCGACGTGATCCACCCGAACCGCGCCACCGTCTCCAAGCAGGAGATCCGCGACAAGCTGGCCCGCATGTACAAGACCACCTCCGACGTCATCTTCAGCTTCGGCCTGAAGACCGACTTTGGCGGCGGCCGCACCAGCGGCTTTGCGCTCATCTACGACACGCTCGACTTTGCGAAGAAGTTCGAGCCCAAGTACCGCCTGCAGCGAAACGGCCTGTACAAGCGGGAGCGAACCGCCCGCAAGCAGCGCAAGGAGCGTAAGAACCGCATGAAGAAGGTGCGCGGCACGGCCAAGACCAAGGTCGGCGCCGGAGCTGCCAAGAAGTAAACAAAAGGGGAGGCGATCAACAACAACAATTCCGAACAATTCTCTCCGGTTCTGTGTGTGTGTCTGTACACTTTCCTTTTTTACTTTTTTGCTAATAAACAGCGAAATGTGTTTATTTTCGTAACCACTTCAGGTTTGCCCCGACCAGTGTCTCTTTCTTAATTAACCTTTCCACTTGCTTTATTCCAGAATGATGTTTTTAAACAACAAATTTCGAGTTAATGGTCAGCTAGCTCATTTCCGCCGCCCTTGTCGTCGGGTGATCAGCAAGAGGCGAAACAGCAGATGATGGCCGGTGGTGGCCTCATCGAAACGACCACTATCCACTTATTAGAGCAGCAGGTTGATCTCCACCTGACGGTCTTCGAGGTGACGCCCAACTTTGGGGAAAGCTCGGAGGTGGCTCAAAGGGGTGCCCACAAGCAACAATCACAGTTGACAGTTCTTCAAAGAATACATGCTGAACCAATACTAGTACTGGATAAATTACCGGTAAACAAAGACATTCACTGGAATAATTAGAAAGAAGGAAAGAAAAAGTGGTGAATCGCCTACAGCGCCCAAACTAAAAGCCATTGCTGGTCTTGCGCTTTTCTTTGCCCCCGTTGGTGCTGGGGCTAAAGAGATGGCGCAACGGCTTGGGCGTTTTAAACGAGCTGATCCGCTGAATGTCCGAGCCCAGTTCCCTCAGAGCTCCGCCCAGCGTTCGGGGAGTAAGCTTCTCCTTGGGAATGGTGTTCTTGACGTTGCCGGGCGACTGAGCCTGATTCGCTTCCTGCTCCTCACCGTCGACCTCTTCTCCAGCCTCGAGCTTGCGCTTCTTCACCGCCAGCTGGGCAATGTCCTTCTGGAGCTGCCACTTGGCCTCATTCTCCTGCTCCAGGTAGCGCACCTCGTCCATTTCCATTTGGCAGAGGCGCGTGAGGTGCTCCTCCTCGAGGCGCTCCATCTCCTGCATATAGTGCGCCTGGAGCGAGTCGAGGGCAGACTGTCGCTCGCGGATCTCCTTCTGCAGGAGGTACTCTCGCTTGCGAAAGTTGTCGTAGAAGACGGCGTCGGTCACCTCGCGCAGGTCCAACAGGTGGTGCATCAGCTGGCGGCGAAGGGTGGTCAGGTCACAGTGATGAGGACTTTCAACTGGTCATGGGAAAAGGGATTAGAGGCTTCTCAATTTACTTAAAATCAAATCCACTTACCCTCAACCACTCCCCAGGGATACCTTCGGACGCGCACAGGTTTGCCCTCCACCTCAATCTTCTCATTGCTGCCAATGACGGCCAAGAGACGAGGTTGGGACGGGGGTGGAAGAGGATCAAGGCTCTCAGCTTGTTCGTTGACTGCAGCTTCTTCTTTAAAGTTGCCCTCCTTTTCATTCTTTATCTTCTTCACCTGNGGTTTGCCCTCCACCTCAATCTTCTCATTGCTGCCAATGACGGCCAAGAGACGAGGTTGGGACGGGGGTGGAAGAGGATCAAGGCTCTCAGCTTGTTCGTTGACTGCAGCTTCTTCTTTAAAGTTGCCCTCCTTTTCATTCTTTATCTTCTTCACCTGCCCCTCGACAACCTTCAGCAACTCCTCGTGACTAGCCTCCACCTGGGCCCACTCGGGAAAGTCGTAGAGCTTGATGTGGTTGCCAGATATGAGGACCATTGTCTGCAAACAGAGTCATTAGAAGTGAGTCAAATAGAACAAACAGAAATGACTTACACTTTTCTTCAGCCCTTCCAGCTCCCCTGGGGTGAGCGTGTCCGCCTTGGCAATGACCGGAATAATGTTGACCTTGTCGTGCAGCTCTAGCATGCACTGGACATCACCGGGCTTCAGACCGGTGGGCGGAACGAGGTAGAGGCAGGCGTTGACGCGCTTGTCGGCAATGGCCTGCGATCGGCGCACCTGTGAATGAGTGTTCAGGTGCTCCAAGAAGCGGCCCTCGATAAGTTGGGCAACCGAGTGGGCACCATTTTGAGCCGCCTCGGAGCTTTCGCCAAAGTTTGGCGTCACCTCGAGCACCGTCAGGTGGAGATCAACTTGGTGCTCTATTAGGTGGAGAGTGGTCGTCTCGATGAGACAACCACCGGCCGTCATCTGATGTTTTGCCTCTTGGTGATCACCCGAGGACGAGGGTGGCGGCGGCGGCGATGGAAAGATGTCGGATTTAAATATCG